TTTGGGCCAACATCTCCCCAAACCTCCCACTCCTCAGACTCTGATAACCACAGGAAAATTCACATTTCTGATGTTGGCCTGAGTTCTTTTGGATTCCAGTAAGTGAGCAACTCTAGCCTGGATTTTTGTCTTTGTCCTCAGAGGAGCAAGACCTGGTTTTAACGGCTACATCTTCATATTGCTCACTCCTTAAGTAGTTTAACTTACTTTTTAACTGTTACATGCCAACAAAACAGGTTGCTTAATTGGTTTGACCTTTCACAGTATTTTTTAATTTTTCAATCTTAGTTTCATAGTTCCATCTGGCCCTTTAAAACGACATCTGGTTAACTGTACTTAACCAGCTGATCACTGTACAGTTATTTTTAAATGTAATGTATGCTTAAACAGATGTTATTTTTATAGATGTGGATCTAAACTGCACTTGTGTACGTGCTATGTCTGCATAAACTCTTTCTGCAATTCAAATGTTGACACCCAAAATTACAAGCCGGAATGCTTATGAACTCCACTATTATGGTACTGCACTTTTGTGCTGCTTGTTAGGTAAACATCAATTCAGTTCTTTTTTTCTTTCTTCATTGCACATAAATAAAACATTAGCATTTAGTTTATAAAGTGATGAACATTTTGCTGTGTTGGATTTAGCGTTATAAATACAACTGCTGTCAGCAAGAAAAAAGGATTTATTGAATAAATAATAAGAAAGCTAAGGGAAAATGAAAATATATATATTATGCAAAACATGGTGTCTGTCAACAGGTCACAAAGGGACTTCAGTGCTCTTGGTGTGACTGTTGGAGATAATTCCATCTCTGGAGTGCTAGCCCTGAAGCATTCTGGACCTACATCTCATGGTAAGTGTCTTAGATTTAATCTAGGAAGCACGCTATAGAGAATAAATTTATTTTATAGATCTCTGAATGCTTAATTGTCCAGGGCATATTTAACAGTTAGATCAATTACACTGTCTTTTACATGAAAAACATCAAGAACACATGATAACAAGGAAACCTAAATGGTCATTCAATCCTACAGTTTGATTTTAAAGTCTTTTCCTATCAGGAAAAGAAAAGAGAAGAAAATGACAAGCAATTTCTACATAGACTGAAAGGTTTTGCAGTCATGAATGGATCATAACATCGAGTGTACCTTGTGTCAGAGAGAACACACTCTCACCAACTGAGAGATCTCCAAAGAACATTACAATGGGAAGCGCGCCCACGACAGAAGGTTGAATCTTCATTGAGACAAAGAAAGTGGCCACAGTTGAAAATATTTTACCGAGAACTTTAAAAGTATTCTCAAGGTTAAAAATTGCTGTTATACATAATACCTCAGTAATTGATAGACATTTTCTCTCTCCAGAGTCCATTTTCTGTGAAAAACACCACATAACATCTGTTCATAAACAGTCCTTCTGTGAAAACACTGACACAGGTCTTGAGCTTCCACAGGCTCAATTCCCCTGCCATGTGCAGATGGCATGATGTATTTATACAGCTGAAGCCTGTGTAACATAAGCCCGGCCATATCTCCAGGTAAGACTTCAGGCAAACATGTGCTGCTGTTCTCTAGCTTTACCCCAAGTTGTTCAAGGAGTTCCTTCTGACACAAAGACAAATTGTTTCCCACAAATGTGTGGGATTCGTCAGAAAAATCACCTTCGGCAATCAACATACAACTCTACAGAGATAAGGACATTTCTAGTCTTTTAAAGAGATTCCACAGAACACATTAATGAAAAACTAATTAGGGTTATAGAGGTATTTGGGAAACTAAATATGACTGTGATCATTCAGTTGCCTTTTTTTCCCCTCTATGCTTAATGTGTGATGTTTAACTGGAATTAATTATTGCAACTAAAAGCAAAAAGTTTGGGGTTAAGGGTTTAAATAATTAATGCTCAGTTTTTCAGTAACGACCATGAGAGGAAGAATGTCCTTATAATGCAAGAAATTATTTCCTACATAACTTCCTTTGGTTCCTCCTGTTACACATGAAATGAAATGGAAAGTTCTGCAAGTATAGAACTTCTTAACTGAGCATTTGTAGAGAAACACTTAAGAGACTCCCAAACCCTGGTGAGCTTTCTTTCTTTTCAAATCTGGTTAATCACCAAGATGTTGGTCCTTTGGCAGTCTCTAAAATTGTTCTTTCTTAGAAAGAAGACAGATTCCAAGGACAAGCATAGCCTGTTTCTCATGAGCTGGAGAAACAGTGACTTCAAGTAAATGCAGGATGCTGGAGCTTCCGAAGGGTTTAGGGGCCCTAAGGAACACCCAAATAAACAGACCAAGGAAGCTATATACATGCATATCTTGGGTTTATTTGTACCTGTCTTTGATTACACAGCTGAAATGCATATGAAAGTCACCATCAGAGAAACATATCTATGGTACCCTCATGTAATATAAACTATTTGTATTTTATTCTTCATGAACACCGCAGGCAAGTTCGTGTATTTGACCAGCTGGGGTCAAAAATACTACCCAGTGCTTGGAGGTTTTTTGTTTTGTTTTGTTTTACTTTCCCCCTGCCCCCCCACTACCTTCAATCTCTATTGAAACACATGAGCTTTCTGATTTGTGCATTTCAAATGTGTTTTTACAGCATTGATGAACTCTCAACTTACTGAATATCCTTCATAGTGGCTTATCAGTTCAGGCTACAAAATAATCTTTGGTAAAGATTTGCAAGGGGAAAAATTAGTCATTCGGGAGTAGGATGAACTAAGGACTCTGGAAAAATTCTTCTAGGGAGACAGTTTTGGGAATCTGTGTCTATATCATGGGCAAAACACAGCTCTGTTTGCCCTTTCCTGGTTATTCCTCACTCACACGATAAACCTCATTTGAAACACGGGAAAAATAATCAAAATAAAAATAAAGTTGTGCCTTCAAATCATATGTCAAGACTTCTCTTCACTAAATATTGAACTGTATTGTTGTTTGGATGAAGCCATGCAGTTAGGAATAATAAAAGAGGCCAAATTCAAATCATGTTTTTCATTTGACATACACTTAACATGTTATGGTAGCCACAACTTTCCTGGTTTTGGTTATTCATTTCTTTTTATTGATACTTTAGTTTATTTTTTTCTGGAACACTGAACGTTGAAGGACATGCATTCAGTTTTACCTGGTATATAAGCACATAATTATGATGGCAGCCTAAATTTGTTGGAAACACTTTTATTATACTCCACATTATCACGGTATATTAGGTTTATTGTGCCGTATATAATGCTGAAAAAAATGGAAATACTATAAATACCCAATAATACAGGACTGATTATTGGTAGGAGAAAATTATGTCATTACTTTAAGTGAAAAAAAAAAATAACAAATTGCGTATATACTACACAATCTCAACTAAATATATGACATAGACAAGTATAGAAAAAAGACCTGAAAAAATATGCCAATAACCCTAGTTCTTGGTGACAGGCTTATGGATTGAATTATGATTTCATCTTTTTATTTGTATATGGTTTCCAAATGTTTTACATTGAATATACATTAATAATCAGAAAAAATATTATAAAAAGCATACAAGGTGCTTTCTCCTAAGAAAAGCGTTTGTTAATCTATTAATAGTTTTGGTGACTTTGAGCAAGAATATAAGTTGATATGAAGTATACTGAGTTATCTTTTTGACAAGCTTTTATGAAATTTAGAAAGAGATAGTTCAGGAAAGTCTTCCTCCCCCATAAGGTACCTTTGGAGACACTGATAATTTGTTGCCTAGATACTTAAATTATGTCCTAGATGATCTCCCTGACTTTATTAACTTCTGCCTCCCTCCCTCCTTTCCTTCCTTCCTTAATAAATATTTATTGATTTATATCTCTTTGCCAGGTGTTCGGAATGGGAATTGCGACAGAGACATCTTGGTGGAATTTGTAGCCTAGGAAGACAAATGCCTAGGAAGACAGACAGACAGACAGTGAACAAGCAAGGAAATGTGCAGTGAACATGCAAATAATATCGCAACTGTGAGGGTGCACCTGAGGAACGGTGAACCATGGAAAGCAGGGGAAGCAGCCCTGCCATTTGTAGAGTGTGAGAGAGACTTCTCTCACACTCTACAAATGGCATCACTCATTTGGCGATGACATTTGTGATGAGACCTGAAAGCGTAGGAGGAAACTAATGGGTTCCACCCAGTGTGGGAGGATGCTCTAGGGAGTATGCTGGGAGTGTCTCCACGAGACCAACTTGCCATTCCATCCCAAGAGTGCCTCACACACAGGAGACACTTAAATATTTACTGAATTTGCTTGACTTGAAAGATATGTCATTTAAGTCTTAAAAACTGTAGGACCTAAGCTGACTGAGTTAAACCGTATCAGTCAATAGTTCATCTTAATTCTGCCTCTGAAAACTGCCTGTCTGCCATGAGGTCTATCTTAGAACCAGATAGACCAACACACTGGTCCTAAATGTTGAAGGCTTTCCTCTAGAGATGTAGAGATTTGGGATAGTTTAAAATGCGTTCTCCATTTAAATGGAATGAAAGCTTATCTCTTTATTGTGCCTTGACGTCAAGTCGGTGATAAATATGGATATCAGACTATGCAAAATTATTCCTGAATTCCTGTCACTATGCCCCAATCAAACTTCTAAACACTTTAACTCAATGTTCAATGATCAGTTAAGATTGTCCACATACGTGGCTAAGCTGCTTATAATTCTTCATGTTTTTCCTCAATGAAAATATTTGGCTTAATCTCAAAATCATCAAAAAGACTAGACATAGGTTGGTCCAAACCACTCATTCTTTTTGTAGCAATTACTTTCCACCAAGAGGATGCCCACCCAGCTGGAAGAAAGCTGAAAGAGTGAAAGAATTTTTGCCTTGATTGATGCCAGGAATGACTCTGAGTTATTTTTTTCCTCACCGGATTGATCAAATCAAGCCTTTCTGCCGTTAAAAATATAAACAGTACTATGTCCCTCAGCGTGATGAGGGCCATGACAGATCTACTATCGATGAGGAACATCAGACACTCTCAAATAACATCAAATTTAAGAACCCAGAAAAAAATATACTGTGTGATCATGAGTGATAGCGTCGATTCCGGAGAAGAGAGCCTAGATAAAGAAGGTCAGTGATGATGAATATGTGAAATGATGAACCTTCCACCTCCAATAAAAACAAGATGCTGATCATGAAACTAATATTTCCAGTGTCTGGTATTTAAAAATCTTAAACAAATCACTATTGCCTTCCAGGCACGTATAATTGATCCTACTTGTATCAACAGTAAGTTCCTTTTCAGGTTTTTTTTTTTCCACGTTAACTTCTTTTTAACATGGTATTATTTTCCTTAAATGGCATTTCTACTGACAACTACACTGAATGCACTGTATAATTATCATGTCTTCAGTTTCTTTTTCTACAGTTCTTTTTAATTACAAAATAATACCCTTCTGAAGAGCGCATCTTTGGTATCTTAACCATCGTTGGGTCAATATAGCAGTGTGTGCTCATTATCAATATATTTTAATTATTTCATTCTTTCTAATGCCACATTTTTTGATTTCCACGAATTGCCAGGTAATTACGTTTGCATCAGGATAAATAATTAACGTTCTCTGGAGCAGAACGACCATTACATTCCTTTTTCCTTTTTCCTTTTTTTTTTTACCCTGGCAACATAATAAATAGACAGGCATTTACCTGGATTAATTAAATGTGGTCTTTTTGGGGACAAGAGCAACATTTGGTGATTCCAGAATTGTTTTTTACCAAGCTCAGAATTTTCCAGAGCCAGAGTTTGTGGCCTCCTAACTCCTCTTTAAATAGAGCAACGCTGCTTTCTTTACATTTCTAAATTATCCTCTGTCTTTCTTCATCCCCTAATTCACCACTCTCCCCCGGCCCCCAAAGCAGAGTGTAGGTTGTGAAGACTAAGAGTGCAAAGGCTATTTACATATGTAAAATTATTGTATTATTTCCTTATATTATACATGCATAAAATTACAAAATTGTTTTACTATATAAAATTGTTATAGTAGAAAATAAATTCTGCTACAGTAAATTCTCCTGTATAAGGCAACAAAAACATGAACAATTTCACAAACATCTGTTAGCAAAACTTGTGCAAGCTCACAAACAAAGTAACGAAGTGAACTAAGGTAAGGTTCAGCAGGTGATACTTGAGAGAAAAGCCAGGAGCTGGGTGAACATAGCAAAGTGTGTTGTGGCAAAGATTTACAGTAAGTTTCATTTCTTCATTGTTAATGGAAAAACTGCTTTTTAGCAATTTGCGGATATACATTCCTTGAAGCTGCTCTTTCAAAAGGAGAGGAAAAGTCCATGGCATTAGCTGTGTGACCATCAGACACGTTACTTAAGCTCTCTGTGCTGCAGCTTTCTCAACTGTAAACTAGGGCTGATAAGGGTGCCCAAGTACACACTTTTATAATGCCAGGGTTGTAATGTCGTTGTTATTTGAAGAAGGCTTTTAAACTCCTACAGTTCTTCGAGCTTCACATCCCAACATCTTTAATAATTTCTCAAATTATTAACAGAAGCTTCAAAGATTCTAATGGTTTTGGTCATTCTTTCGTCTGTGCTCGATCTTAAAGGTCTCTGATGAACTGTGGGACGTAGAAGAGAATGCCATGCTCCAGAGTCTGAATCGCATAGAACAAGATGAGAAAACTTCCCTTCCACTTTCATCTAACAATACAACTTAAACTGTTTTACTTTTAAATTCTCAGTTTCCTGGTTTTATCTTTTTTCTTCCTCCCTTTGTATTATTTAAAAAGTCTAATAAGTGTGTTGCTAATTCCTTTCAATGTCCCTCTATCTGCTGATTATTGGCTATGTGCCAATGATACAGCATTGAAGCACCTTTTCTAATTCCCGCCTTTACAACAGTGTTACACTGGATACAGCCAAGCACTTGCTTTTATTTTTGATAAGTCAATATTTCTATATGTAAGGAATAAATATCAAGTAAGTTGGTAAATCTCCTATTGTGATAAAAACAGTCAGTAGAAGTAGATTTTCCTTGTAGAAATTATTATGTGAGAGGAGACAGAAGAAAGGCTATTTATTATATTTAAAAGATCATCATAGGAAAGAGGGGGAAATTTACTTTATGCATCTCTGAAATGCTAATCTTAGACTGACTGGTCCAAGTTACAATCATCACAAATATTGTGGAAAAACAAATGTGAACAAAAGGTTGAAGGTTATGACTTATCTGGAACTACTCTGCCTAGAACTTAAATAGTAACTAATTATGGTCATCTTTAAATGGTATGACAAATAATACCACAGTATTTTATACTCTGTAACTTAGACTTGAATAAATAATTTGAAAAGTTTCTAATCCTGATATGTATTTTACTGAATTAATGTTTATGTAGTTTCAGAATCTTTCCTGTCCTAAAGCCACATTAATTGAGCCTTTTATAAATCCTACTGCGAGCAAAGCAGTCAGTTTTGGGACGAGCTATTGTCATAGAATTCAGACAATATAATTTATTACTTCTGGTATCATGTAATATTTTATTAGGCATATTCTACATGTTGCAAATGTAAAGAGGTGCATTGCATGGTTTAGGTCCAAACATCTGCTCTTCTTTCTATAACCCTGAAAATGATGCCAACACATCCACTCTTACCGTATTGCAATATTTGAAGAAGAGGTTGAAACAAAAACAACAGCTATGAAGTAATTTCATGCTCAGTAATATAAAAGGTGTTTCAATTTTCATAGAAAGACTTTTATACTGGGATGTAGGCAAACTCCGATGTCATTAATTAGATATTGCTGTTCCCTGTGTTTCCAGTTTATTCAAATATAATTTTTCAAATATTGATATCTAAGGCAATACATAAAAAATTTTAAGTGAGCAGTTTATTACCATTTGTACTTTTAAAAGATCTCCCCCCCCCAAAATAAAAGCATTTAACAAGGGGGAAATATAAAGAATTATTAAGGTTTCAAATATTTTAATCAGCCAACCTGATCCACTGTTTAAGACATAGCATGAACCTCAAGAGGTGTCATTTGGAAGCGATTATAATGTAAACAAACATTGTAAAATAAGATTAGGAAATATAATTTTGATCCTTGCATTTTGTTAAAATCAGAAACTAAGGTAATTCAGGAATATTAGATTTTCCATAGATTTTTAAAGTCCCGACAGTAACATTTCTGTAAAAGGCTTTTTTTGTATGAAATCTGTACACCATAAAGACTATTTAGTAAACATGGTTCCCTTTCTTAGAGATGGCTGAAATCCTGTAGCAACATAACGATTGTAGCAACGTAACGATCATCACCATTTATTTTGTAAAATTATCTTCTGGGCAGCAAGACAGTATTACGTTTTACAAGATCCATGACTCGTGATGGGTGTTTATAACCAAATAAAGGATTTAATTATGGATATCTACAGAGTCAAACTAACTGGCTGATTAAGTTGACACAAACAAAAAGGGGACTTTACAGAAATAAGTTTTAAGCTTTGCATCTTAGAAATAAGATGACTTTGCAGTACTATAAGAAGTGCCACCATGAAGTTGCATTTTAATGAACTCAACTGTTAAAAACAAATTGAATTGAAGTTTAATTTACCCTCATTTGTCTTTCACTATTCCTCACGTCATTTTCTCACTTTGCTTTTGACTTCATTTGTAAACTTGAACTTTACTCCTACTTAGAAATACAAGTTTTAGGTATTCCGCAAGAAATAACTCAAACTAAAGATATATTTTGAAACATTTTAGAAAAATCTTTGAAATGTTAAAGCATAAAAATTTATTTTCTGTTTCCCAATAATATGAGATTACAAATATAATGATGTTCTTTCATCAAAACTGTTCCGAAAAACAACAAAACCCATAACCAAACCTCCTGGGGAAGAAAAGGCTGACTTCTATCTTTAGCAGGAAGGTAGAGAGTAAAAAAATTCTGTCTGAATAAACATTTTTTAAAATGCTTCTTTCTGAACCAGTGACTATGAGTCAAAGGGAAGCATCAACGTTCAGTATTCTGTATTGCCCATTTCTTGGAATTTTTTGAAATTATAGAATATGTAGTAGCTGACAGCAAATATTAATTTTTAAATATGAAACCCTATGACAAAATTGTTTATACTCTATAGAGACTTAAAGTATTATTATGTTATATTTTCAAATAATAGCATGAAATCTGTCTAGTACAAAAAAAGGCAGTGTAGTCCTGTATTTTCCAGTGCTCTCTAACCTATTGAAATAGAGGAAGAATATAGAAAAATGTTTTTCAGGTAAAGAGATATTCAGTGTCAAATATGGTAAAACATGGGCACTTTTAAAAATTACAGTTTTATAAAAATTACACCAAAATTCTTCTTCTCTTTATGGACATGTGTCATTCATTGTAAACCTTTGCTTTGTTTAAAGTGCAAATTCTGATGTTAGAGGTTCCGGGTTCAAATGTTACCCCCACTACTCACTAGCTTTAGAAACTCAGGCAAGGTATTTGATCTCTGAAGATGAATTCTACATCTGCAAAAATGGAGATTACAATCTACAACACTGGTTCATGAAACATGGCCAATAGAGTTCCTATGCTATCCTTTTATCAATATTGTGACTAATATAAAACAATTATTAATCCTGAAGTTCCCACTAAAACATTTTCCTAAAATAAAAACTGATGAAATATTTTTAATGGGGGAGAACAGTGTAGAATATACAAATGATTTTCATCTGTGTCCCAGCTTTGTAACTCAGCACCTTTGTGATTTTACAAAGGTCATGATTCCTAAATGAACATTTGGTACCCTATCTGTGAAAAGGAGATAAGAACATCTGCCTCTAGTTTTTGAGTGAGTTCAGTTTATGTATGTAAATCATAAAACACTCTGCAACTGCTAATAATCGTGAAGAAAACTAGCAACTACAACTTTTTTAAAGAAAAGATATCACAATTAAAGGTCGATGAACATTGATGGAGTAAGGCAATTTTTTATGATTTATGTGGGTTTTATCTGTTGGCTTTCCTCATCTCACTGTGGCATTAAACATATTACATTAACTAGTTGAAATCAGATTGAATACAATTCATTCTGGTCCACTTGCTGAAATACGCCAATAGGATGTTTTCCAATTTTCTCACATAATATTTCTCTTGTCCTTTGGGGTCATGTGGTAATTTCTGCAGGGAAAATAATCTAACCACTGTGCAACTGATCAAAGTATTCCTACGAATACTGCCTTAGGACAAATGATTTGAACCCTTCCATTATCAAAACATCTGCAAATGTTCCTTTTATGTATGTGTCAATGAGTGAGCATATGCGAATTGAATTCCCTTCCTCCTCTGAGCACCTGACATACACCTGACATGTACAATTGAATTCACAAAAAATTGATAAATGGCATGAACTTTTAGGACTTAGCAACTTTGTGTAATAGGACAATACTCAAATCCTAGAAAGCCAGAAAACATTTTGCAAAGTCTTAAATGTTTTAAATGTAAGTCTGTCTTGGAACTTGGAGTCAATATGCTGGTTCCTAAAATATTACTATACATAAATATTGCTTTTGTACCTTTTCCAGAATTGTGCATGGTGGTGCATAAACCTCACCATGATATATATCACCAAGGGTCATTTACATACAGTTTTAAGTCATCTCAGCTTGATTTTTGTCATGTACTGGCATAATTCATGTTTTTTTAGGCACACAATTTTATTTTAAAAGATTTGTAACTTATTTTGCTAAATGAACCCTTAGGGAAAAATAGGTAAAATATTTCCTTCGACAGTAATGAAGACACTACAAGTTTCTTCTTCGTGTGTGTGTGTGTGTGTGTGTGTGTGTATGTGCAAGTGGATGTAAGCACTGCATATCTGTAATGGAAAATTAAGAGTTAACAATAGAATACAATGAAAAAATTGGATAATTGGTTAATTTCTGCCATCTTTATTTTTCAAATTGATTGTCATAAGCAAAGCCATTCTATGGCACTTTGCATATACATTTTAAATATTACAAATGAATAGGTTGGTCCTGGCCCATTTCATGTGTATATGTTGTATAAGTGGCATTGTATTACAGACATCGAAAGTAAAAATGACACTTTCTTTCTGAAAATCTGAATGTGAAACTATGGTTGCTCACATAATTTTCCAAATGTCAAATAATAATGATTATAATAAAGTATTTTCAATTAGTGATAGGATAGACAAATGTATGTTTTCTCCACTGGCGGTAGGTTGATTTGGCTGAACAGCTGGTTGGGTATATGCCCTCTTCTTCTCTCTCAATTTGGGTGTTTCCATTTCCCAGCCTAAGTTTTGGAACACTATGAACCTATGCCATCATGCAATGATTTTTTCCATTAAGAGTTTATTAAAATTTTAAAATATTCTAAAATCTAAATGGAATTTATTTCAGAACTTTAGATAATGCAGTCCATATATATACTAAATATACTGAAGACTCTTTCTCTATTGAAATATATTACAGAATGGCATCCTAACATTCTGTTTAGCCTAATGTTAATAATCACAGTTCTAGGTTTTCAGCTCCTGTGGTTTTCTTTTCATCGATTTATTACTGTTTATATTTTTCTATATCAGGTTTCTTATTAAATTATAAATGAAAGTATATGTCGATGGCAGTATTCTAAACATATTACTTTGAGTAACAGAAGTGTTTATTTCTTTTAAACTCTAAATGACATACTTTGTACTAGTTAAACGTTCCCCCACAATATAACAAAATATAAATCATCTGTTGGAACCCACATCCTAAAATACAACCAGGTCTATATTCATATTAACTCAT